CTCCCACCCTCACCCAGACACTCCCTCCCATCCTCACCCAGACAATCTCCCCCACCCTCACCCAGACACTCCCTCCCACCCTCATCCAGACAATCTCCCCACCCTCACCCAGACACTCCCTCCCATCCTCACCCAGACACTCCCTCCCACCCTCACCCAGACACTCCCTCCCATCTTCACCCAGACACTCCCTCCCACCTCACCCAGACAATCTCACCCAGACTCTCCTCCCCACTCTCACTCAGATACTACACTCCCAGCCTCACCCAGACAATCTACTGTCCACCCTCACCCAAACAATTCCCTTGTCCATTCACCCCATACTGTCCTGTATTGTCCCCACTGCCCAATATGCTCCCAGTGCCTGTATCTCTCTGGGATGGAGCTGGGTGAGGGTGAGGCCTCTCTCACCCTCCGTGCTGAGATACTCACGGTTTCCACACTTCCAACCATCAGCTCCACAGAGTTGGCCTTGATGATGTCAACTGGAAGCTTGGACTGATGTATCAGCTCTGGGATAATTCCCAAGTACTTCCTCTCTCCCTCTGGAACGTTCTGCAGCTTGTGCATAAGCTGCCCAAAGCACTGGTCAGCTGCAGATGACAGAGAGTGGGGAGTAATGTGAGGTGCTGCATTTTGGAAAGGCAAACCAGGGCAGGACTTATACACTAATGGCAAGGTCCAGGGGAGTGTTGCTGAACAAGGAGACCTTGGGGTGCAGGTTCTTAGTTCCTTGAAAGTGGAGTCACAGGTAGATAGTATAGTGAAGAAGGCATTTGTATGCTTGCCTTTCCTGGTCAGTGCATTGAGTATAGGAGTTGGGAGGTCATGTTACAGCTGTACAGGACTTTGGTTATTAGCCGTTTTTGGAATCCTGCGTACAATTCTGGTCTCCCTGCTATAGAAAAGATGTGAAACTTGAAAGAGTTCGGAAAAGATTTACAAGGATGTTGCCAGGGTTGGAGGGTTTGAGCTATAGGGAGAGCCTGAATAGGCTGGGGCTATTTTCCCTGGAGCATCAGAGCCTGAGGGGTGACCTTATAGAGGTTTATAAACTCATGAGGGCATGGATAGGGTGAATAGACAAGATCTTTTCCCCAGGGTAGGGGAGTCCAAAACTAGAGGGTATAGGTTTAAGGTGAGAGGGGAAATATCTAAAAGGGACCTAAGGGGTAACTTTTTCACACAGAGGGTGGTGCGTGTATGGAACAAGCTGCCAGAGGAAGTGGTGGAGACTGGTACCATTACAAGTTTTAAAAGGCATCTGGATGGGTATATGGATAGGAAGTGTTTAGAAGGATATTGCCAAATGCTGGCAAATGGGAGTAGATTTATTCAGAATATCTGGTCAGCATGGACAAGTTGCACTGAAGGGTCTGTTTCCATGCTGTACATCTTTATGACTCTATGACTGAAGGCAGAGAGAAACAGCGAACAGAACCCGGGTTCCCCTCTCCCTCTCTCTTTCAAATTCCTTTACAGGGCATGAGCATTGCTGGCCAAGCTGGCATTTGTTGCCCATCCCTAACTGCCCTCAAACTGAGTGCCTTGCTCAGCCATTCCATATCGTTGTGGTGCCTGGAGTCACGCGCAGGCGCAGACCAGATAAGGACAGCAGATTTCCCTCCCCTGTAGGGCATCCTGTCATTGGGGGCTTACTGGTTCAGGGGAGATGTCCATCTCTCAGCAAACAATCACCCATAATAACAAGAGCCCCGGCAGTAGGCTCATTGGCCATGGGGCGCATCACAGTCCAGCCTCAGCCTGTGGAATTGCTCATCCCCTGCGCCAGTACTGGTCAGTGGTCTCCCACTGACTCTCCACTCCTGTGGAGACAGGCACATTGAACAGGTAGTGGGGGAGCATTCAGTTGTGGCACCCACCGTGTTCAAACAGAAAATCCCACGCTGCCATGTGATCTCGCCAGGGTTTCACATTCAGCCATTTGGCCAGCTCCAGGGGGATGTACAGCAACAGGATAGTCGTCTGTAGCATCTCTTCAACAGCTTGGATAAATCGGTCAGAGCTGGAATCCACTTTCTCTGCAAATAAACCCAGTCTGTCTCCATACAGCAGGTGGAAACTGGCTGGGAACAGAGACACTTCGATATTAACCAGGTAAAGGATACAGTGTCGATATAAATAGGAATCACCACCAAACACATCTTCCCCTCACTCCCAACGTCCGCATTTCGCAGGGATTGTTCTCTCTGGGATATCCAAGTTCATTCATCGACCACCAACACCATCCCTCCTATCCATGGCACCTTCCCACGTAACTACAGAAGGTGCAACATCTGCCCCTTCACCTCCTCACCATCCAAGGGCCTAAACAGTCTTTCCAGGATTTCACCTGTACCTCCTCCAATCTTGTGTGCTGTATTTGCTGTACCCAATGTGGCCTACTCTACACTGGAGAACCAAACGCAGACTGAGTGACTGATTTGCAGAACACCTACGGCGTATTCACAAGCAGGACCTTGACCTTCCTGCGGCAGGTCACTTTAACACAGCATCCTGCTCACATACCCACGTGTCTGTCCTCAGCATGCTGCAGTGCTCCAGTGAATCACAGTGCAAACTGGAGGAACAACACCTCATCTTCACACTCAGCACTTTACAGTCTTCTGAACTTAATATTGAGTTCATCATCTTCAAATGGTGAACCAACTCCCATTCATTTCTTTTGGCTTTACTTGTGACATTCTCTGTCACCGTGCCCTCTCTCCCCTCGCCACACCCCCAGGGGGACTGTCTGTTCTTTCAGGTCTGGCAGTTAGATACATCATTGTTCTGCCATTCTCATATTCTGATCACTTAATCTGAACCATTGACATCTTTTCTCCCCCCAGCACTCTATACCCCACCCCCCCACCTATAGCATAAATGCTATCCCCTCCACATTTCTCTTCAGCCCTGATAAAGAGTCATCTAGACTCAAAATGTTAACTTACTTTCTCTCCATGAATGCTGCCTGACCCAATGTGATCTCCAGCACTTGTTGTTTTCAGTGTTGATATTAACGTGGCTAAGTGCGAGAGTGTGTTCGATATATCCCGGGTAATGGGGGGGAGAGAGTGTTCGATATAACCCGGGTAAGGGGGGGAGAGAGTGTTCGATATAACCC